CCCTAGCGGGGGAGCCGCTCAGTGTCTGGAGCTCAGAAACCGGCACAGGGCCGATACCATTACCAGCCCCATTCGAGCTGTAGGCAGACGAACAGATCCGCCCCAGATAGAAACCTGAAATCAGCGACCCTGTGTTTATGAGCTCAGTTAGAACAAAACCCAGCAGAGTCAGTACTCCTGCAGGACCAGGGCTGGGAACCTCGTCCGCTCCCCCAGCCCTCTCTAACGCGCCCTGCTCTCCCTCCTTCAGTCAGAACAACTTCGTGGCCATAGTGGACCTGCCGGAGGGCGAGCACCAGTACAAGTTCTACGTGGACGGGCAGTGGACCCACGACCCCTCCGAGGTGAGCCTGGCAGTGACGCCTCGTGCCCACAGGGAGGCGGTGTGAGGCCCGGGTGCGAGGGCCGGCTTGTGTGCCCGGGCCTCTTTCTCACCCGGTCTGGTTCTGCGTGTGCTCCCACAGCCCGTGGTGACGAACCAGCTGGGCACCGTGAACAACTTGATCCAGGTGAAGAAGACCGACTTCGAAGTGTTCGACGCCCTGCTGGTGGACTCTCTGAAGTCTTCCGATGTGTCAGGTGAGGCTGCGTGTGCTGCACCCCACACTGCGCCCTAAAAAAAGTGCTTCAGGGCTGTCAGCATGTTGCCTGATTGGTTTTGAATTTTGTTGCTATCGTTTAACTGCAGTGTAAACTCTGCCGAGATTTAGCAGCCAGTCCTTCGATTCTCAGGTGAAGCTACTAGCTGACCAGGTGCTGACAGGACCGTGCTCCTTTTACAATTCCTCACACTTCTATAGCTCTTTTCTGGACACTCCACTCAAGCACTTTACAGGTAATGGTGATTCCCTCCACCAGCACCAGTGTGCAGCCCCACCTGGATGATGCACCAGATCACTCCCAACTCACCAGCTCTCAGTGGGGAGGAGAGCAGAGTGATGGAGCCAGTTCAGAGATGGGGGTTATTAGGAGGCCATGACTGGTAAAGACCAGGTGGAAATTTGGCCAGGACACCAGGGAAACACTCCTACACCGGAAAAACACCCTGAGAGTTTTAATGACCTTCAGGACCTTGGTTTTACGTCGCATCCAAAGGACGGCTCGTTTTTACAGTATAGTGTCCCCCTCACTATACTGGGGCATTAGGACCCACATGGACCGCAGGGTGAGCGCCCCCTGCTGGCCCCACTAACACCTCTTC